GAGTGGATCTGGCCTGAGGACTAACCACACTTTGCCAATCTTTGGTCCAAACTATACTCTAGCCATTTTTAGGGAGGACTTCCTCTGGGGCTGCTTTAAGGCCCAGCTAGTTCCCAGGAATATTGATTAGTCACTTAAGAGTACTAGATTCTCCCAAATGCCTGTTGGAAATTGATGAGAAAAATGCTCAGGGCCTGTGCTTTGAACCAGATGGAGCAGCAGGCCCTTCCTCATCCTTTTACTGTGACCCAGGGCCCAGTGCCTATTCCAGTTCCTAGTTATCTTCTCAGTCACTGGTCTTAAGGGACTTGCCATATCCCTATCAAAAGCTTCCCTGTGCCCAGCCAGGGTGGTGGTTCAGGGGACTCACGTTTGGGTCCAGGCTCTCCTCCTCTGCACCCACATCATTGTCATTGGTGTGGTTGGTGGCAGCAGCATTGGCCTGGCTTAGTTGTTTCTCACTGAGCTCCTTCTGCTTAGCCTCCTTCTCGGCCACCTTCTTCTCAGCTTTCAGGCGTCTCTTCAGCTCACTGTTGGGAAGATGAAAATGTTCAGTGTGACAGCTGCCTGAAGAGTCCTCTACTATGTCCTGTCCCATGGCCATTTATCAAAAACATGAATAGCCTGAGGGAAATGGTCTTGCCCAGTTCTACACTCCCACCTCTAGTCTCTTAGTCACTAAACTCTATAGGTGAAAGAGACAAAGGGAAAAATAAGCTTAGAATAAAGATGAAAAAGATCTTTCTCTGTGCTTTCCAGTCTGAGGTCCTTGGCATTAGGTCCCACCTAAAATGAACACACCAGGACAAAGAAAATTCTACATATTAGTTTATATTCAGAATAGGAAAAAAGGTTTCCCAGAAAATCAGCAAGATAGGCTTTTTTCAAGCTTATTAGGCTAGGGAGCCCCCTGAGGCCACAGACTAAATCTTAGTTGTTTGGTATCTATCCTCTGTAAAATATGAAGCTCCTTAAATACCAGATCTGATATGATAAGGCAACATCTCCAGCTGAGTGCCAACCCTCCCTACCCCTCTTCAAGGAGTGGTTAGTCTTGGGTGGGGAAGGGTGGCTCTTCAGAGTTCAAGGAGAGAGTCCACTGATAATCTTTCCCTCAGCATTGATCAATGTATTGACAATGGCCTTCAACAACGGCTTCACTCTTCCCACTGGAGCCTGACTGACAACAAACTGGGTAGAACAGTGTACGAAGCAGCATAGTGCAGGGAATAATATACCATTTTTGGAATCAGATTGCCTGAGACTAAATTCTGACACATCTATTATCAGTTATGTTACCCTGGGCAAGTGACTTAACTTCTCTCCACCTGTAAAATGGATAATAGACGATAATAATGTATGTAAAGGGATGACCCTGTCTCTAGCATTTAGTAAGCATGCAAATGTGAGCTGCTCTAAGTATCCCTTACTATCTTAACTCTTCACTCTCTCTGCACCAGGACGGAACTCTTACAGATTTGGTCAAATCCCTCACTATCCACTCTTGGTAATTGTCACCTGAGACTCAAAAAATAAAGTGATTCACACGACTTGGTATTCTCTTAAGATTTGAAACCTTGCTATTTGAACCCATGAACCAAACAGATTTGGGAAGAGGGATACCCTCATTATTCAAATAGAATTAATCATTCTTTCAAACCATCAATAGTGTGCTAAGCCTATTGTGCTATACTTCAGTCAAGGGGCATCTAATCTTATCTGGTTCTTCCTGGCATTAATAAATAATCCTATTCAACTAGGTGTTACTCTTTAAATAAAATCAATTCTAAGGGTAATCCAGAAAGGTTCTGGGGATAGAAATAAGACTAGAAACCAAGTTAACCTCAGGAGCAAACAAATTCCAGAAAGACAAGAAAGACAAAATAATCTACATTAGAAATTCTTTACTCATACACGGTTTTGTTTCAACACTTCTAGAATAAGAACCACTAGCCATCTCAAGACTCTAAGGACTAAGAATTTGAATTGATTAAAGAGAAAAAAGGACTATTGGCTTTCATAGCAGGGCTTTTTGTTTCCTTAGCATAACAGTTAAGGACATGTAAGGGAAGGACTTTTGCTCCCAGAATAAAGGTAATGGGCACCAACCTTCTTTTATTAGAAAGTGGCTTGTCCTTGTGAAGCGTTCTGAAAGGAGCAAGTTGCCACAGCTGCAGCTCCCTCTGCCCCAACTGTGCCCAGGTTTGGCGCAGGGACTCCCTAACAAGCCTTACAGCAGCTTGCGTCAACATGGCAGAACACCCTGGAACTAATGATTACCACCACCTAACGGGAAACACAGAGATGTAGTGTCAGTTGGGACAGACAGTATATACACACCCAACCAGCACGCCTACTCTTTATGGGTTGGGGGGAGGGGGAGGTTGTAAAACCTTTTAGTGTAACATTTTACTTAAGACTCTCTTAACTGACAGCAACTCCTAACACTCACTCTGCAGCAACTGTAACTGAACGTATTCAGTCCTGGCTATGGTACAAAATGCATATCTGGAATCAAAAGTCAATAGCAAATCAATCACTAGCTTACAGGTAGAAATGATCATGACAGTCTAGAAAACATGAGACAGGACATAAAGCAGTGTTTCTGAAGCCCTTGACATGGGGTTTTCTCTACTGGCACTGGAGAAGCACTCTGCAGCAACTGTAACTGAACGTATTCAGTCCTGGCTATGGTACAAAATGCATATCTGGAATCAAAAGTCAATAGCAAATCAATCACTAGCTTACAGGTAGAAATGATCATGACAGTCTAGAAAACATGAGACAGGACATAAAGCAGTGTTTCTGAAGCCCTTGACATGGGGTTTTCTCTACTGGCACTTCTGAAATATGAAATATCATTATCAATTGCGAACTCTCATGAAGCTAAAAGCAAGCCACGCAAAAGCACCTCTGAATCAAAGATAAGACTTCTTTGGAGGTCTAGGAATAAGGAGGAAAGAAGAATTTCTGAAAGGGTCTTAGACTACATTACAATGGAAAGCAACAGAGTCACAGGGATAGCATTCTTTACTGCATTCAAATTTGGCCTTTCATTTGGAAATGAGCCACCTGTCAGGCAGCCCATGTTTATAAACTTGGAGAAAATAGCTGGTATAAAATGGTCTTAAGAGTGAGATCAAGGAAGTTACAAGACCAATTAAGAAGTAGAAGAAAATGCTAATAATAAAATGATTTTAGCCCATGGTCACTAGAGTAATATAGAACATCAATACCAAATTCTTTTAGACAAAATGAAGTACGGTGCAATCAGTATAAAGAGCTTGAGCTGTGGAGTTTGATTTTAGATCTCTGCTCCAGAGCTTTGGATCAGTGATGGATCATACTTTAGGTATGCACACTTCGGCAATGTATTTAATCACCTGGAGTCTCATTTTATATTTAGCAATGTATTTAATCACCCGGAGCCTCATTTTATTCAATTGAAAACTAGACATTTAACACTTTCTTTGCAAGATTATTGAGATTAGACAAAATTTGTATAGTTCTAGCACAGTGCCTGACACACAAAAGCTGCTTTAAAAGGTGGTAGTTGTAATTAATCTAAGAAAAGTCAGCAGAAGAAAACTGGCCAGTTTTCCTCAATTTACCTTAAAATCGTACTCTCAAGTGGAGACCTTGCTTAGGAGGTGTCTGTGATTTACAATACTAAGTTCATTTACTTGTCTATGGCCATGCCACCCTGAATGTGCCAGATCTCATCTGATCTCGGAAGCTAAGCAGGGTCAGGCCTGGCTAGTGCTTGGATGGGAGACCACCTAGGAAGACCAGGCGCTGTAGGCATTAAAAAAAAAACAACAACATACAACTAAGTTTATTTATTGATGTAAGTGCATCAGTAAAAAGTGCAATCAATTTTCCCAAAGGCAGAAGTCCAAGACTAGATTCCAAACATAAAAATCCATCAAACATTCTCAAGGCAACATATTAGGGTGCTAGCAAATCATAAATTTTGGTATTTCCTCTTATGTGAGTGTAATTCTATCAGCGTTCAGCAAGAGCCCTAACACACTAAAACAGCCATTACCTGTAATGAACTAACTTCTCTCTTATACCTCTGGAATGGTACTATTCATTTCAGGTACCTTCTTTGGGAGTATTGAGAAAACTCACTCAAATCACTGCTTATGTTCTGTGAAGAACTCCAGTTAAGAGGGTGTGTAGTATGTAGAGAATATAAGACATAGTTAAAGAGAGGCTAATCTTTATTTGTTTATATTTATCTTCACATTCCAAGGATTTGGGAGGATTAACAAAGATATATCCAGTAATGCTAAAGACAGCTTGCTATACCTGGCTGATAGTCCCTACTGCTAGACATTGGTCATTCCCTCAATACTCACAGATCCTTTGAATAACCCATATGGATAAGCGCGCGACAGTTTTAGAACTAATAAGGTTCAGAATGGCCTTAGTGAGGCCAAGAAAAATTTAAGTCTTTCTGAAAAGCTAGGGTATTTAAAATATTTCTCCAATCTCCTTATCAAGGTGTGGCTCAATAACAAAATACGCATTTCTCGGAAGAAACGGGGGGATTAAGTTTCGCTTTTCATTTACCTCTCAGTTCTCCGCTTTCTCTTACTCCAGAAGTACGACGGGGGGAGACCCCGCCAGCTCTGGACCCCAGGAAGCTCTGGGGGATGTAGTTTCGGGACGTAGCGTGTACGTCCCAGCGTATCCGTACTCGCTAAAACCAGCAGGAAGGCCCCCGGGACAGCCGCCTCGGCCAGTCCCTCGAGGCACTCCTAGCCTGGACTCTCTGGCCGCAAAGGCCTTACCGACCCGCAGCGACACTTACTTTTTGCTCAGTTTGGGCTCACCGCCGTCCACATTCACCTCAGCCGCCAGCATCGCAGCCATCTCTGCAAAAGGACGGACATGAAAGGAATGAGGGTCTTACCACAATTTCCAGGTCACGGCTGAAAGCCCCGCCTCTTCCGGGGAGAGGGGGCGGGCACTTTCGTGCGCTGCCGTCGCGCAGGCGCAGTGCGTGGTTTCGCGGTCTCGGCGTCTGGAGCGGTAGCGTAGTTATCTGCTCTCTAGTCGCTCAACTCTAGCTCTTCGGGCGTTACCTATGGCGGAGGCAATGGATCTGGGCAAAGACCCCAACGGGCCCACCCATTCCTCGACTCTGTTCGTGAGGGAAGATGGCAGCTCCATGTCTTTCTACGTGCGTCCCAGCCCGGCGAAGCGCCGACTCTCGACCCTCATCCTGCACGGTGGCGGTACCCTGTGCCGGGTGCAGGAGCCCGGGGCCGTTCTGCTGGCCCAGCCCGGAGAGGCGGCGGCCGAGGCCTCGGGCGACTTCATCTCCACGCAGTACATTCTAGACTGCGTGGAGCGCAACGAGAGGCTCGACCTGGAGGCCTATCGGCTGGGCCTGGCCCCGGCGGCCTCACAAGCCAAGTCGGGGGCTCCGGCCGAGGGCGTCGCCACAGCGGAGCCCGAGCGGCAGCTTCACACGGGTCGGATCGCCTTCACGGACGCGGACGACGTGGCCATCTTGACCTACGTGAAGGAAAATGCCCGCTCGAGCAGCTCTGTCACGGGCAACGCCTTGTGGAAAGCGATGGAGAAAAGCTCGCTCACCCAGCACTCGTGGCAGTCCCTGAAGGACCGCTACTTAAAGCACCTGCGGGGCCAGGAGCATAAGTACTTGTTGGGGGACGCCCCAGTGAGCCCTTCCTCCCAGAAACTGAAGCGCAAAGCTGAGGAGGACGCGGAGGCCGCTGATAGCGGGGGTGAGACCTGCTGCTAACCAACGGGCCCCTCTGCTCTCACCTGTGCTGGTGTGGGCGGGGCGTCTTTCCCTTTTCCTGGCGTCCATTTTGGCGTCTTCCGTAACTTTTGCCTGGCCCTTCCCCCTTTCGACGTCTGGGTTAAATTTGCACCATTTTCTAATCTCTAATTTCCAATAACTAGGATATCGACATGGTTCGCTATCCAAATGGTACAAAAAGGGTAGTGTATGTAGAAAATTTTTTACCCACAAACTATCCAGTTTTGTTCCCCAGAGGTAGCGGGCAAATCAGCTTCTTGGGTGTTTTCAGAGATGAGACTCATGTTAATTATTGAATTATAGTTGAAATACAATATATTACTTTCAGGTGTACAAAAGTTATTACAATATTATTAACTACATTCCTATGCCGTACATTATGTCGTTCAATGTAAAAAATATATATTTTGTAGCTGGAAGTTTACCTCTTAATCTTCACCTGTTTCGCCTCCCCTCTGACAACCACTAGTTTTAAAAATATCCTTTATTCAGGTAGATTCAGTATAAACAGTTTTAAAGACATACTGGATCAGTTTATTTTCCTGTTTTGGCTTAACGTGTGTTCATGTAAGAAGGCTTCTTGGTTTCATGAGTGAAGTGAATTTTTGACGCAATTGAGTTAAATGTCGAGATTCAAGTGGAGTTAGGACACTGTGCAGAGCCATTAAGATGCTTCATTTTTGATATTATGGCTATTGACTACTTAAGTTGTCAAACCTTTTGTTTAAAGAAGCATGCTTTTCCCTCACTTCTCTTTCCTTGTCTGGCAATTCCTTGTAACAGTTGAAGTCTGGGCAGGTGAAATCTATTTCTCCTGTCGAATATGCTTAGTAGGAATTTTGTTTTTGGTAAAAATGACATGTTAGATTTATTCATTCAACAGATATTTGAGTGCCAGACACTTATCCTGCTGGGATATAACAAAAGTAAAAGTCCCTGTGGTCATGGAGCTTAATATGCTAGCTGGGACGTGGTAAGTGCTATAGAGAAAAAATCAGGGTAAAGGTTGGGGAGGAGGTGGTTTTCTATAAGGTAAGAAGGAAAAGTCACTATGATAAGCTGATATTTGAGCAGAGACCAAAAGAAATGAAAGAGTAAGCCAGGTGGTTATCTGAGGAAGAGTGTTCCAGGTAGTGAGAATAAATGCAAAAGTCCCGAGGTGGAAATATGGTTGGTGTGTTCTTGGAGCAACGAAGATCAGTGTGGCTGGAATGGAGTAAGCAAGAGGGAGAATTCTAGGAGAGAGGACAGGGCTAGGAGTATCATCGGAGTAGATCATGTAGGGCCTTGCTTTTAAATCAGTGATGTTAGGATTACTTGCAAGCCATTTGAAACTTGGAACAAGATTAATCTGAATTCACCCAACTCAATATTTAATAATTAGCTATTTAAAAGTAAAAACTAAAGTCCTAAAATGACTAAGACGTACATATACTTTTTGGTATTAGCGTGATGATATTCCTGAAACCAAGAACAATTAAAGTTTTATGTATCTGATTACTTAAAATTAAAAGCGTCTTGTGATAGAGCAAACTGCAAAAATACTCTCAATACATTGCAACAGTTGGTTTCCTTAATGTCCAGAGAGCTTGCAGAAGTTAGTAACTGAAAGAAAAACTAGTAGAAAAATAAGGAAAGGAAATGGAACAGGAAGTTTATAGAAAAGGAAATAGATGGCCAATAAATGCAGAAATACCGATACCGAGTATAAAAGCAAACGATCCTGAACAGCGAACCAGATAGCCATGCCCAGACTTTTGACTCATGGAAATTGTGAAATAATGTGTATATTGTTTTTTAAAACAGGAAACCAGAACAAAAGAAATGTCATGTTTTATCAGATTGGCAAAAATTAACAAAATGAGTAATATCCAAAGTTAGTGAGGTATGTGAAAACAAGTACGCTCTTACATTGTTAATAGAAGGAAATTGGTAGAATTTCTTGAAGGGCATTTTGAAAACATCTAATGATGTTTAAAATGCATGTTTCCTTAAACATGACAATATTGCTTCTAGGAAGTTTATCCTACAGCTGTACTTAGTACTAAAGGGTATATAGGGAAAAGTAAATCTCCCTGCCATAAACCTCTTCCACTGGTTTCTCTCCCAGAGCAAACACTACTATCATCCTTGTTTTGTGTCTTTTTCTGCTTATAATAATATTAGCACACTAGAAATCAGTTTGTTTTGCAGTTCGCTTTTTTTTAAACTTAATAGATCTTGAAGTCTTCTTGTGTGCATTGCTTTGCCTCATTCTTCATTGATTGCATTGTATTATGTGACTGAACCATAATTTATTCATTTTATAGAAAATTTTGAACATTTACAAAAGTAGAGTAGTATAATGAACCATGATGCATGTACCCATCACCCACTTTAACCTGATTATAGTTCATGGCCAATTTTTTTCATCTATATTTTTCTATCCAGACTTTTGGGATTATTTTGAAGCAGATGTCAGGCATCATACCATTTTATCTATTTCAGCACCTATCTAAAAGATAAGACTTTTTTTAATTACTATTTTTTAAATTAAAGAAAATTGACTTATTTTTGTGTGCATGTTATGCATTTTTATTTATTTATTTTTAATGCCTGTAGCACCCGGTCTTGTAGGTAGTCTCCCATCCAAGTACTAACCGGGCCCGACTCCACTTAGCTTCCGAGATCAGACGAGTTTGGGCGTGTTTAGGGTGGCATGGCCGTAGACCATTTTATGCATTTTTAAAATGTGTTTTTTATGCGACAGCATGGATGGACAAGACCTAGAGGGCATTATGCCTAGTGAAATAAGTCAGAGAAAGACAAATACCATATGAGTTCACTTATATGTGGAATCTAAAGAACAAACAAACAAAACAGAAACAGATTCATACAGAGAACAAACTGATGGTTGTCAGGTGGGGGGCATTGGGGGGCTGGATGAAAAAGGTGAAGGGATTAAGAAGTACAAATTGGTAGGTAGAAAATGGTCATGCAGAGGCGAGGTACAGCATGGGGAATATAGTCAATGTAACTATGGTGCTAGGTGGGTACTAGACTTATTGGGTATATAATTATTTGTAAATTATATACATGTCTAACTACTAAGCTGTCTGTACACCTGAAATGAATATAAAATAATATTGAATGTCAACTGTAATTGAAAAATAAAAATTAAAAATTTATTGTAAATTCTATATATAATACATAAAATTTGCCACTTTCACCATTTTAAAGTGTTTAGTGGCCTTAAGTACATTCATACTGTCAGGCAACCGTCATTACCATTTATCTCCAGAACTTTTTGATCTCCCAAAAACTGAAACTTACATCTGTTTAACACTAACTCCCCATTTCTCCCTTCCCCCAGCCCCTGACAAACACCATTCTACCTTCTACAAATTTGATGTCTCTAGGTACCTTATATAAGTGGAATTATACGATATTTGTCCTTTTGTGTCTGATTTATTTAACTTAGCATAATGTGTCGTGTCAGACTTCATTCCTTGTTAAGAGTGAATATTCTATTGTATGTATACACCACATTTTATCAGTTCATCCATTGATGGACATTGGGTTATTTTTGTCTCTTGGCTAATGTGAATAATGCTGCAATATGAGTACTGTAATAACCTGTTTGAGACCCTGTTTTTATTTTGGGAGAGTATATACCCAGAAATGGTATTGCTGGATCATGATAATTTTATGTTTAATATTTGGGGAATTGCCATACCATTTTATAGTTATATGTTTTAACACATGTATAGGTTTGTGTAACCACACCAAAAATTAGGATACAGAACAGTTCTATCATGAAAAAACTTCCTCTTGCTGCCCCTTAATAGTCAGTTTTTGTTAAGTGGAAAAGAGAGCAAAATCCTAAGAGAACAAAGTAAAGGGAGACGAGGAGGATGTTTAGCTTTAGGGGGCTCTCCTTTCTGTAGATGGTATGTGGTAGATTGTAGTGTGCCCCTAGATGTTCCTTCAGCATCTGAGAGAGCTGACTTGCCCAAAGTCCTGTCATCTTAGGACGGCTACCTAGTATCCAGTGACTGATCTACGTAGAGTTCTAAGTCTTGGCCCTCATGCCCCAACTTGGTCAACTCTGAAAGACCTTTCTAGCTTCAGCTGAGGCCTTGTTGGCACTCTTTCACAGCTCAGCTTTTCTGTCTGCCCATCCTGCTTGCTTTTCATTATGAGTTTTCCCAGGCACACTCCCTAATAAACACCTTCCATATTAATCTCCACCTCAGGATCTGGTTCCCAGAGAACCCAATTTATTGCCCAGTTTTGTTAATTTGCAAAATCTATCAATACAAAGCAAAAAATGAATTAATCTTGAAGAGTGGGGTTTTTTTTACATATCAGAACCTAGTAAAATTATCACCATTTGGATAGTACAACTTTCTAGAAGAAAGAGTAGAAATTGTTGCACATGCATATTTTGTTTTACTCTTCTGATCAAAATCAGATGTCTTCTAACAGAAAAAAATAGTTCAGGCTCTCTCTTGGTCTAGAGCTCACAGCATGCACTATTTTTTTTTGATTTCTGTAAAAGAGGCTCATTCTAATCTGGTACTGTTCTCTTTACTAGAACCGCAGAATAAGAGAACTCCCAACTTGCCTGAAGAAGAATTTGTAAAGGAGGAGATCCAGGAGAATGAAGAAGCAGTTAAAAAGATGCTTATAGAAGCCACTCGAGAGTTTGAGGAGGTTGTGGTATGTTAACTAGATTTAATTATTTTATTCATACCTCTATTCTTCTTTGATGTTGGTCATCCCATCTACCCTTTTTATACACTCGAGACCTAGAAAGGTAAAAGAGAAGTTCAGGATGGAGGAGGAAAATGGAAAGTGGGACTGATCTAGGTTCTAGGTATGTAGCTTTTAGTTTTTTGGCTGGCAAGCTTGACGGGGAGAGGTAGAAAAGTTGGGGAGAATTATTTTTAAAACACTATAAAGCATCCCATTATGAGTACTTTCATCTTAGTGTAAGTTTTTCAAAGTGAGGATGATTTATGTTTTAAAAATATGGACCATAAACATAATTTTTAAAAGACTTTTTTAATCAAGCGAGTTTAGTTTTTGTGTATTTAGAGCTCTTTTGGAATTTTTTTTAGCTCTTCCATATTCAGTCTAGCTTCTAATACTCCATTAGAATCCCATATTTAATAGAGAAAGGCAGGAGCCATAAAATATGAGTAATTTAAAAAATTCAAATTGTATATTCCTATCTTCTCCAAGAAAAAGGATCTTTTAAATTAACTTTTCTTATTAACATAGAAAAATGGTTAGACCTCAGTCTTAAACAAGAAAATAAGTTTCTGTAATCAGTGAGTGAAGAAATGCATAGGAATTGGTAGAATTTAGGAATTATTGCCTTTTATAGTCTGAATTTTATTATTTGATATTTGGTTAATTTCCCGTAAACTTTCGAACGCTCTCATCAACTCTCAAACATGGTCTGCATAGGTGTCTTCTCACCTAACATGCTTTGTAATGTGTCTGAATGTAGTGTAGCTTGGAGGCTCTAGTATAATCATACAGCTGTGTATTTTGAGTACTTATGTGCAGGCATTGGTTGGCACTGGGGATGTAATGATGAGCAAAATATATAATTCTTGCCCTTATGGAGCTTATAATCTGGGAATGAAGTCATACTTATAACAAATAATCTAATATACACATGTACACGTACATGTGTGCTTATACATGTTTTTCATATTCCGTGTAGCTTCTAGTGTTCAATTGGAATATTGTGGTTAATTACACATTCACATGCACTCACATATAACCATCACCTGTGCACACACTCTTGCCCTGTCACATACATACATATATATACACATACATACACGTATACACACACATCTAAGTTGAATAAATGTAAGAAGGAACATGGCATATTAGAGAAATTGACAGAATTCCAGTATGATTGGAGTGAAAAGGGCAAGAGGTAGTAGTTGGGAGAGACCAGACATTGGAAGATTGTTTGTGATTTGGCAGTTAGACTGGTCTTATTCATCAATTTCTCTAGGTGGAGGAGAGCCCAGATTTTGAAATACACATAACAATGTGTGATGATGATCCACCCACACCTGAGGAAGACTCAGAAACCCAGCCTGATGAGGAGGAAGAAGAAGAAGAAAAAGTTTCTCCGCCAGAGGTGGGAGCTGCCATTAAGATCATCCGGCAGTTAATGGAAAAGTTTAACTTGGATCTGTCAACAGTTACACAGGCCTTCCTGAAAAATAGTGGTGAGCTGGAGGCTACTACCTCCTTTTTAGAGTCTGGTCAGAGGGCTGATGGGTATCCCATTTGGTCCCGACAGGATGACTTAGATTTACAAAAAGATGATGAGGTTACCCGAGATGCATTGGTCAAAAAATTTGGTGCTCAGAATGTAGCTCGAAGGATTGAATTCCGAAAGAAATAATTGGCAAGAAAATGAGAAACAGAAGATGGCAGATGAGGTGGTAAAAACAATTTGTGACCATTGAACTTTAGAGATTATTATGTTGGAACCGACACTTGTCTTCTGACCAATGCTGTCATTGCTCTGTGAGTCCTAGATTTTGTAGCTAAGCAGAGTTGTGTAGGAGGATAAAAATAAAAGTAATTGGATATATTTAGAGCTATCCTTGGCAGTATCAGTTTGTTTATGAAGGGAAAATCTAAAGCAGAAAGAGGTTGGCCCATGTAGTAGTAATCCTTTTCTGGCATGGAACCCCTGTTATATTGGTGACAGGTGCTAGTGATGAAGTCAGTGGAGGAAAATTAGGAGACAGGTCTTTTCAGGCAACATGAATAAAGAGCTTCCTAATTATTTGTAGAAGCTTCTCTAGATTGTGATAGATTTCAAATCAAGAATCTAGAAATATAGAAAGATTTCATTACAAGACATCAAACATGGACTATGCCAAACCCTTGCATTCCCTGTCCCCCCCACCCCCCAAACCCCAAACTCTGATTTCTAAACTACTCTGAAAACTCCATATTCCCTTTGCTAACTTAGTGTTTGGGGACCTTGCTCTTTGGCTCTTCTTTTCTTTGAGTCCCTGTCAGTCATGTCTCTAGCACATGTTTCTCTTTCTACTGCCCAGTTTTGTTTAAAATGCACACAAAACCTTAGTCTCATAGTCTTACTTGGTTACTAGAAATGTGTTTTTATTTATTGAGGATAGTTTTGTGCTAAGTCTGTGTTAGATTTTTGTTGTGTTGCTTTTGTTATTTAAAATAAATAGAACTTTGTATTTGAGTCTCCAACAAGTGTTTTCTTTGATTGTATTCACAAAACCTTTTAGGTATAAAACTCATAAAGGAACAGACATTTTTGGCTCTTATTAGATAAATAGTAAAGTGCTTCCATTTTAGAATAGGCCATTAGAAAGCTGCTAGTTCTTCTGGTTGGAGCAAAGAGAAGATCTGCATCAAGAACTGTGAAAGATGGACAAATAAGGTGAACTGCTGAAAGCCAAAGGGGAGAGAAGCCAATCAGGAACCGTCAGTGTGTAACAAGTGTCAGTGCCCCACCCATATTCCCTGGGCAGTCACCATTCTAGCATATGCCACTAACAGGAGTTCTGTTGCAAGCACCTGCATGAGGCTTTCTGCTTGAAGAGCTATAGAGTGGCTTTCTGCAAGTGGTGCATGAGAAGTAGAGGTTGCATACCCAGCTTCCTTGCTGACCAGAGAAATGACACAACTGAATATGTATTTGAGAATTACCCTGTGATTGGGATTGTGGTTTCCATGCCATCTTTCAGAGGTCCTCAGTAGAAATAAACATAGTTGCTCTCAGTGGTGATTGGTTTATGAACGTGCCCTGTATAAGCTTTCTTCTCTTGTCTCACGTCCCTACTTACGTATCAGTGCATCCTGGAATCACCAGTTACACACAAATTCTTTTTTTAGAGTCTGCTTCTGGGGGAACCCAGCCTAAATCAAAGTGCTTAACCTGTCCCTGTTCCTTAGCATGTTAGAAAGGTAAACCACTCCCAGTAGTAACTAGCTTGCTACAGGAGTAATTCTTGAATGGAGGTTGTGAAGGTTGGGTGGTGGGCATTTGTTTAAAACATGTTCTCCATTCTGAAATGACTCTAGGGTGGTTGAAAATTACCGCTTTAAATGTGAAATAGATATGTCATCTAGGATGTCTGCACCTTAGTAAAGTTACCACAGCCAATTGGTTTTATAGGCCTAGAAATTGGTTTTCTCAAAGCAATTGCAAAAGGGTCTGATTTATATCCAGATTTCCAAAAGACATGTTTTAGACCAAAACAGCAACGTATAGTGCTCATAAACCACTAACTTTCAAATGTCTGGTTTTGAAATTGCTCTGGTCATTTCATCTCTTGGAAATACGTAGGGAAACATCCAGAAGTATTTTTGGGGAGCACAAACCTAAGCAAGGAAAACAAGTTAGATCTTAATGATGAATGACATTGAGTTATGGTTACATTAGTTCCAAAGACCAGCTGTTCAAGTCCTAAAGTTGCGATACCTCTCCCTGAAGCTGCCAGATTCTTGTTTGGGTTTTCTTTTCTTGACCTCATGAGTCAAGCTTTTCTGCTTGTGCTCTGGAAGACATCGTTCAACTCATTTTAGCTCTTGAATTCTGGGCCTTCATCACAGTTACCCCCACCCTTCGCTTCTGAGACTTTCTAGGCCTTAACTTGTACCACTTAGTGGTAGAGGCATCTTTTTCTGTCTCCTC